TGATATCGATAGTAGTATACACTCGCACACCGAGAGAACCGAGAGAGCCGAGAGAGCCGAGAGTGCTAAGACGAGACGGATCGCATCAGGCCGCGATGCAAGTGAATTCAAGTGAATGCATGCGCTTCATCGCTACTTGAAAGCGCAGCGTGGCGCGCTTTCGATTGTACCCCCGTTGCGTTTCATCACCGGGCCGTCGCTTCTTTCGATTTCCTCGCCAAAGTATAGGTCTGCTCCCCTTAGTTACGCCTCCTCGCATTTTCTTTCAGTACCGTGAAGCCCGTATCGGAACTATACGCATTGAAACTTGAGGATTGCGAATCGGGGATTCGAATTCGATTCGAACCAATCTTGAACCTCGATCTCTGTCCCTTCTCAGCATCCTTTGTTCCGTTTTTTGGTTGAATTCTTGAGACTTCAACCTTCGGTATACGGCCTGAATGGACTTCCACTTCTAGAAGTGGCAGAGGAAGAAGATAGAAAACAAGTGTGAGAACTACAACCGCACGAAGGGGGCTCCGTTTCTTCGAAGTGAGAAGAGCGTTATGTACGCTACGCTCCGCGGAGCATAATTTTTCATATCAAGGCCGGCTTCCTCTCTCGTCACTTCTCGCGAGAAACTTGCTTTATCGATATAAACATTACGAGCTTGATAACCTGTACTTCGTGGTGTTAACAACACGTACTGCGTGTACGCGTTGAACGTGAAGCCAGTGACATGTAAAGAGAAATGTAAAGTGTAAGCAGTAAATAAATCAACATTCCGTTTATTTGCTACTGTTATTTGTTATTGTCCTAAATTTCTAGTGTCGTTGGCCGATTCGCTTACTGCTTATTGTCTTACATTTTTTGTGTGCCATAGGTGTTTAACGCACTGAAAATATTTGCGATCATTTAAAGATTAAGCTTGAAATATTCGATCCCCGTTTCCAATGTAGATTAATTTCAATCTCGCTTTAACTTGTCCTCCAGTTTTTCTAATTCTAACTGGTTCCATTAATAAAGCTAACAACTTTAATCTCGGTCTAATTTACTTTTTTTAATCTTTAAATTTAGAAAAATTTTCCATGCTCGTTTCTACCAATAAATAACTTCAATCTTTAGTTTGCTTTTATCTTTCCCCAGTTTCAAGAATTCCAATTCTAAAAATTACGAAGGGATAAAACGTAGATTAAACCTGGATTAAAGTTAATCCACATTGATAGAAATAAACAAATCGCGGAACCGGAGTCTTGGAACAAGAAAAAGACCTAAAATAATAATTTAAACCGAGATTAAAGTTGAAAAATTGATGGAAACAGGTATAAGTTTTACTGCAACGGTACGCATTGGAGTATGTAAATACCGCTCCCGAGAGAGAGAAAAAAAAAGAAAGAAAAAGAGAAATGTGCGTAGTCTCGCGTATGCCCTTATCCCGGATGGTGGAGAAAAAGATTCCAGATTCTAACCGGGTTCTAGATTCCGCGGTGACGCGCCGCGCATAGACATTCGCGCCTTTCCAAGGAGTCGAAGAAGAGGCAAAGGAGGCAAAGTATCGCGATCCATCCGAAAGAGAGAAAGAGAGAGAAAGACGGAAAAAGATCTCCGGGTCTCTGCGCCGCCGCTGCCGTTCGCGCCGCGGCATCGTGGCGCCCGCAGGGCGCCGTCGTCGTCGCCGTCGCCGTCGCCGTCGCGCACTTCCCCGCTGACGACGACGACGTCAGGACCGTACCTGACAATATCGGCATACGCAAATTCTTTCGTCGGCTCGTCTGCATCTTCGAAAAATAAGGGCTGGTTGAAAGGATGGTCAAACTTCTTAAACAGATAATCTTTAGAAAAATAAGTTTTAGGTAACGTTTTAGGATCTTTTAAAATATCCAAAATAACTTTGACATAGCTGTCGTATATTACACGATTATCTTTGCATTTCACCTAACAATCTGCATCACTTAAATACCTTGAGATGACTTAGAAAAAAGGCAATGTTGTCCCTTTTCGTATTTTTGCTCCGTTTTCGTATCTTATAATCTCGGTTGAACTTACTTTTTATTATTTTACTAGTTCTAGCATTAGAAAAAAGGTAAAGTAAAATAAATTAAAAAATAAATCAAATTTAAAGTTAATCTATATTGGTAGAAATGGACAAAAGTGCTTTGAATAATTAGAAGTTTTTCTCTTTAATCTTTAATTCTAAAGAAGTAAAAAAAAATGAAGAGTAAATTAAACCGAGACTAAAGTTAATCTATATTAAAAATGAATATTAATTTCGTTAAAAAATAGTGCAATATTGCCGCCGATTTTTATGGTGTCGATTTAATATATGTCACGTACATTTAAAGGAAAAAATGATCGCAATTACTATAATTTGACTATAATTTATAATCACATTTTCAGTGCCAACAATATATTCTTTGCACAACTATAAATATAAATATCATTACTATAACGTTATAACAACAATAATTAAAAAAAAATAGAGCTTATAATCATAATTATTTTACCGCAATTATACATGTAATTGTAGTTCATGTAAAAATACCAAACATTTGTTTCTTATTATCAGTATAGCAATCCAATATATAGAGTGATTCACGAAACTAATCTATGATCTAATGATACAACAATTATCTACGACTAATTGATTCGAAGAAGGTCATCTTTTAATATTATTAAGACTTAAACTTACCATTAATAATAAACTTTTAAAAAAATATGATCTTGTTCGATAAATATCTTCATTCATTAATTTTCAAGGAAACTTGTAATATACGATTTGATTAGTTTTGCAATTTTATATACATATATAGCTATCCGTCTACATACATATATAATTCATCCGTAACAAAATAGACATTTGCAGCATTAAATTTTGTATCCAAAGAATTATCCTTTATTGACAATTAAAAAATCATACTTCTTACGACAAAATCGAGACAACATCGATTTTAAGTCAAAACCATTTAAAATCATTGTACACATCGTAACATTCGCAACGCGCGAAGAATCGCGTAATCCGACTTAATACCAAAGACCTCTCGTCACTTCGTCATTGCGTCTCTCAGTTCTGTTTATCGCGCCGCATGATCAGATACTCTCGACAGCGAGAGGCGAATAGGTTCCTTAAGACAGACCTGAGCCCCGATCCCTCCCGATAACATCGTCTCGCTCTCTCACACGACGTTGATCGTCGCTCTCCGTCGGCGATGCCGACGACGCACGAGGCGTCGTCCCACCACCGGCGACGCGCCCCACCAATTCACGGCGAAGATGGCCGAGGCGAGTCGGCCTGCGCCTTGCGACTTGACGCGGAACGCTCTACGTCACAGTGAAGTATGTGCTCCCGAAAGTAGAAAATGGCTGCGCTCTCCGCTAACTCGGGCGGATGTAAATATGGTCTGTGGCTCGGCCTAGGAGTGCTTGCCGCGAGATACCTCGGCGGTGAGTAACAACCGCCTCTTACGTGACGCGTTCCGCTCGATCCGCGTCGTAACATGCGTGCGTACGTTCGTGTTTCTGCTACACGCGTGTATGCATGCGTGCGTACGTGCATGTGACTGTGTGTGCCTCTGTGTGTACGCGAGATGCTGCCTGCTGCCTGCTGCTCGAGAACGGGCAGCGGAGAAGGCGAGGCGAAGTGGCCGCGGAGAACGTTTGCGTCCCGTCGCTGTCGAGAGAGAATCGATCGGATGCGGACTGGCCGCGCGATGCGACACGATCGCCGCGAAACGATCGCCCTGGTCTCTGCGCCGTTCGCCTTCTGCCACACAGATGTTTCGACCCGATCGCCGTTCTCTTCTCTCTTTCTTCGTCTTTTCATCCTCGGTTCGGTCCTCCGCGTCCGCCGTCTCGCGAGCCGCGCGTTCGTTCGCACATTCGCGTCTCCGCCTCTCTCTCTCTCTCCCTTCTAGACTCCTATTCTGAAATTCTTAATAACGATAATAACGATCGCATTGTCGCGCAGCTTTTTTATTTTACCATGTACAAAACCTGCGACAGTGTAATGATATCTTTACTGTCATTCATGTCCTATCAATGTAGATTAATTTTCATCTTCGTTCAGTTTCTCTTCATCTTTTCTATTTCTTAGAACTAGAAAAGGATAAAGTTAGTTGAATCTGAAAATGAAAATTAATCTACATTGGTAGAAATGGATATAATAAGGCTCTACCGATGTAAGATCAACTTTAATCTCTTTAACTTTATTGTTTTTCTAATTCTAAGAATTAAGAAAAAAAAGATAAAAATATTTTTAATCCTTAGAATTAGGAAAAGATAAAGAATTAATTGGACCGAAATTAAAGCTAATCTTACATTGACAGAATCGGGCCTAAAGATTATAAAACCAGGCTGAACTGACAGAGAAACGAGAAACGCCACAAGACTAATCAACATCATCATCGTGAAGGATCGTCGACGCGCCCTCGAATCCCTCGATTGTATCGCACTCTTTTTAGTACCTTCGAGGAAACACCCCTAGATACGGGGAAACTCCGTCGACGCAACGGTGATCGACAATACCTTCGTGTGACACTTCTTGGTTCCGCGATTCTCATAATTCTATGTATCGCGTACTTTTCTCAATTCCGTTTTATCGTCATTATTTGTCAAACATTCATATGTCTCAAATTACAAAGCTTTTACTCCCGGATGTTTTGTAACAGTAACAGGTCTGCTTGTACTTTTTGCACTCAGCATCTTCGCTTTCTCTCTCCTCAACGCCTTAATATATATTTATCTCATTTTAATTACAAATATTTTTAGGAATTTTAAGCAAACAGATCTAATTGAATTTTCTTTTTTTATAGCGCTCAGTAGCGTTATTAATTTTTTTCCCTCGCAATTAAATCGAACGTTCTCCCACTGATACGTTTTCTCGGGTGGAATTTCTGCGTCGTTCAACATACCACGCGGCTGTACTTTTTTACGTCTGAATGGGACGGGAACGAGAGAGAGGAGAGAGAGAGAGACGAATAGAGAAAAGGAGAGGGAGACGGAGATGAGAGGTTAGCTGTGTTCCCAACGTTAGAGACTGAAATACCAGCGATGCTGAGAATCGACTCGACGAGAGTGTTGTTCTCCCGCGAGACGCCTTTTCCACTTTTCTTCTTTCCCTCTTTTCTCCGGTTTCTCACGGGCTTCCCTCTTTGCGCGTCTCGATCATAGGATCCAGATCCCGATGCTGGACCGACCGATCTTGCTGCGCGATTCTGTATCGGCGGGGGATGACGCCGTCGCAGCGACGACGACGACGACGACACTAGACTTTAACCCTTTGAAACGTAATGCGTCTGTATGACTGTTACTTTTTTTAATACCTTCTTTTCTTAATCTACTTGCAGCGACTTGACGTTTATGACGAAAGAAAAGTTAAATTATTCGTTTCAGATAGGACCTTGTTATGGAAATGATGTTGAAATTCACTTTCCTCTATATATGTTGTCATTTTCAACATATATTTGCGACATGAAGAGCACATACAGTTAGAGGTTACTCAGAATTTGTTTACATATCGGGAACACATTTCAAACTTCTTGTTATAGGTTGAAAAATATTCGCAAGTAAACGTTATATGTGACGTTTTCTTCGATATTTATTGATTGTAAAAAAAATTTGTAGTGACTAGATGTATATATTGTGAAATATATCTCATTAATTCTTAAAAAAAAAAAAGATATATTTCAGTGAAATATATCTTATAAATAAATTTTGTAATCTCTTAGTACGACTGTGAATTATTTGAGAAATATCATTGACTATTGATGATTATAATATTGTTGTAGTTATTTGCCAAATATTAATAGTCTCAATTGTCTCAAATTGTTTTGAAATGATATGCTTCTTTAATCTTTTTATAACGTTCTTAAACCAGATTCTGTTAGATTAACTTTAATCTCGGTACTATTCTAAAAATTAGTAAACATTAAGTTAAATTGAAATTAAAGTTAGTTTTATATATTAGTTGAAATGGACTTTTGATTACGATTTTAGACTGGAATTGATTTGGTCAATAATTATCACAATAATCGATTTTAATAGATAAATATAAAATTATATATGTATAATCAGAAAATATTTACATATATATCGACTCCAAAAGTCGATTAGTTTCGTCAGAAATTTAAAAAATTTCTACGATATTGCTGTTTTTCGAATAATCAACAGTTACAACGCATTAATATTGAAATGAAAAATACGCGTCCTAAATATATCCTGATATCTATCTCGATATATGTAATTAGATTCATTCATGCGTTAAGAGTGACTGTGATGAAACTCCGGTTAACTTAATCGGTGATCAACTAGCAAAACAATTGCAAAATTTATAATTATATATAATTCCTCGTCCATAATCGAATTTTTTTCATATATGAAACAGTAGAAGATAATATCTCAATTATTTTTTCCACTTTAACAAATAAAGTATAAGCTTGATAAGTTAATTGAAGTTTGATCGGAATAAGCAACTTATAATCCCATAACATTAGAAAAAAATTAATGCAAGACCGACAGTAGAATAAAAATAATCAGCGATGAATGTATTTTGCATCATTACTGAAGCTACCGAGTATTTTTTGCACTTTTCGAAAAAACACTGAATTAAAAACAATAGTTTTCTAAAACGCACAATTATCGCTCCAATCTCTCGCAGTCATTGATGTCTAATTAAAGTTATTCATGTTCTTTTCTACCAATGTAGGTTAATTTTCATTTTGGTCCAATTAACTCTTCATCTTTTTTCTACACTGAGAAAAGTGTCCGATTGGATTAATTAGAATTCTAGTTGAAAACGAATCAGAATTTTCTGGTTCGTCCATTTTCAACCATCAGATATTTTTCTCAGTGTAGTTCTAAGAACTAGAAAAAGATGAAGAATGAGTTGAACCGAGGTTAAAGTTAATCTAGATTGGTAGAAACGGACATTAATAATCGCAGCAACGCAATCGAGCACTTTCAGCGTTAAATGCGGCGCGAAGATGCTGGGACGGCATTTGTCTGTCCGTAGGAAATGGAGAGATTGTTTATGTTGCCTCAGCGAACGCGTGCATAGGGCTCGAAATACATCAAAGGATAAACGTCGTTTCAGCGAGACATGACATTCGTCCCTTTCCTTTTCCCTTGCCGGAGTCTGCAGTAATTTTGCACTGAAAACGCGGGTCTGTTTCAATCCGCTCTGCCTTTCTCCTCTCGTGCTGCGCTCTCTCTCTCTCTCTCTCTCTCTCTCTCTCTCTCTTTTTTCTTACGTCGCATATGACGTATGACGTACGCGATTATTTTCCACGAGACCCCGCAAGGACATCGCGCGTGTACATCGTGCGTACGTGATGAATAAGGCGAATAAAAGGCGGCCTTTCTCAATGCAAGCGCGCGAGTCGTATCCGGGATATAAAAATACGCTGTTTCGTAACATGTGACTTCTCGCTCGCAATACAACGAACTCTTTTTCAAGTGCGATGCCGGAAACATATCGACCGTTATCAGATAAAGAGATTTGTAACCCCAGGATTTAAGAGAATATATATTATCTGTCGAAATATGTAAAAAAAAACAAAAAAAAAATATGATAAAGAAGCAAGAAAAAAAACGCGCGTACGCACGTTTGATCTGAATAACAAAGTAGTAGTTCTCAGTGAAAAGAATGATTAATGAGATCCCCGATAATTTAAGTCAGAATAAAAAGCCCCACGTTCGGTGGGTCCAGAGTTCGAGGCTGTAAAACATTTTTTTGCGCGGCAAAATGAAAAAGGCGAATTGATATATAGACAGAAAGTATTTATGAGTCGTTTCGGATTATTTAAAAGGCTAACCGAGGTTTAATGGATTTTGTTTCTTCTAATCGCTTTTTCCTTCTAATGTGTATTTTTATCAACTGAGTGTTACCCGAAATTGATCACATATATACTGTACCCTAATATATATACTGAGAAAAATAGTCTAAATTAAATAGTAATTCTGGTGAAAAATGGACGAATCATAATTTTCTGATAAAATCTATTAGAATTCTAGTTGAGATAATAACTCTGATTGATATAATTATTTTAGTAAAAATTCTGGTAAATTTTATCAGAAATATTGTATCATCGAATTCTAATTATTTCAAATAGAATTCTAATAAATTTAACCAGAAAATTCTGATTCGTCGTATTTATCTTGTTTTATCAAAATTTTTCGGGATTTCAAGTTTTCAAGCAACAAATTTTATCTATGTGGTAGAATTTTAGAAACAAGCAAATAGTTATTTAAACTTAAACCAATTTCAATGATTGCGTTCAGTAATTGTATAATTCTTTAATACGTTTAATTTATACATTTAAATCCAGTGAGAAACTAACACTGAAAAAAATGTTTGGTTGAAAATGGACAAATGATTGATATAATCAGAATTTTCTGATTTGTCTATTTTTCAACCAAACATTTTTCCAGCGAAGAGCAACATCAATCATATTAAAGAATTTCACGACAGTTGCAAACTTACTTTATTTGAACGCAGCTAATAACTAATTATAGTAATTATAGAAGATTGTAGTGTCGAAAATTGAAATTCGCTGGAAGTTTTCGATCGACAATCGTGGATGCTGTGACTCGCGCCGGAGATGATCACGTCTCTCTTACATCGACTGGGGATTTCCACCTCGCAATCACGCCGCACGTTTGCGGAGTAAAATTACATACACGCTGATTGTCCTTCCACGAAATTATGATCGCAGAGTATCATGATTACGCGCGCAAATCCGTCCGTGAGTTCCCACTGCTTTTCTCGACAATATTATTTGCAGCGCGACGCGGGTATTAAATTTCCTATGCACGTTTCCAGCGCGAATGTCATAACGTGTCCCTCTTTTCGATATCAATTATACCACACTGATATCCATTTCTAATGCAGATTAACTTTAATCTCGGTTTAATTTACTCTTCATTTTTTTCTGATTCTTAGAATTAAAAAAAGATAGAAATTAATTACACGGAGAGAAGTTTTTCTTAGAGTTTACTCTGAAAATATGGTAGTCGTGGGACAACATTGTATTTTGAAGAATTTTAATGTAAATTTCTCTCATTTATTGATAAACTTACAATAAAATATAAAATAAGTTTGATTAATTTTACTAAAATGCATGGTCAAAAATCTTTAAAATATTGTATCACAACTATCATATTTTCAGGGTAAATTTAAAAAAAAAATTTTCTCCATATAGATTAAAATTAATCTACATTGGTAGAAACGGGTATGAGAAAAATTTCTGGTTGAAAATGAACAAATCAAAAAATTCTAATCATACTAATTAGAATTCTGGTTATATCAATTAGAATTCTCATAAGTAGAATTAATAGATTCTGGTGTCCGTTTTCGACCAGAATTTCAATTAACAACCAAACTATCAGTGCAGAGCTGCTCTGATGAGATTACTCGCTTCAGCCGGTGAACGAATAATTAAAGTTAAAAGTCACATCGCGATAATAAATAATATGAGATAAATATTATGGAATTATAAAGATACGATAAGATCAAAGATCAAAGAGCTTTTCCTTTATTAACAAATAAAATCATTTTATTGATGATACATCGGAGAGGAGTTTGGTTGCACTGATTGAAATTCTGAAACTTTGGAACAAGCAAGAATTTTCTTGAATCTATTATAATTATAATTAAAAGATAATCATATTTTTAATTGATATGACTCTTTTGGTTCGTTCATTCTCAATCAGAAAATTTTCCCAGTGTACTTTAACACCTCTGTTAAACGGAAACACAGATCTCCTTATAATCACGTACCTCTTTTATTGACTTTTAAATATTGATAAAGCGATAACAGAGAAGGAGATAACAGAATGATTTTCTCACTCGACATGGAATCAATGCCCTCTTGTAATACAAACCAAAATCACCTCTCACAAAGTTAGCCTACGTTCAATATTTACTGTTTTTTCCACTTACTTAAATTGGTAACCAATTTCGTTTATTATCTCCGATAAGTTGCAATCACCTTAATGCCTGTTTTTACCAACATTCGCCCGCTTATCGGTTATTCCCCAGGGAATATGCGTGACAAATATTCCCTTCCGCACCTTCTCCAATTCGATTACCTTTGACGTCATTCCATTATAGTTCGGAATATTGCGACATTATGATCAACGTTATTAATTAAAAAAAAAAAATGTCTTAGTTTCGAAATAGCTGCGCCGCGTTTCTAGAGTCGCCGGCGAACTTGGCGATTCGGCGCGACTCATAGACGCGCGGGGCTATCGCTGATACTGCTCTTTGCCACGCTGATAAAGTCCGCAACTAGCTGGCACGTCGCGCGTCGCCTCGCGCGATTCATTGAAACCTTCGTGCGATTACGGGCGCCGATTGCGTCGCGAAACCCGCACGAAAGCAGATATGCGCGTTACCGCCTCTCGGCCGATCGCGCGAGCTCGTACACACATTCGCGTGTTTACGAGTTTTCTAAACAGTTCATTATGGCTTTTCTCGCCAGTGGTGGTCGAACTGATAAGCGTTCGTTCGGGGACCCGATTGTTGAGTCCGTATCAAACTACGCATTGGAGATTGAGAATTATAAACTAAAGATTAGAATTTAATTAATCAGACGGTCTTAATTTTCATTCGATTTTTGTTTTGTTCCAATTAAATGAATTCTGATCTGCAATTTGTAATCCTCAATCTCAAATGGTTGAGAACCTTTGAAGATTACAAGTTGCAGAATTCATTTAATCCGATCAAAATGGATTAAAATTAAGACCATCGATTGGTCACCCACGTTGCACTACGCATTGCAGATGTGAATTAGATTCGGAATCGCTTGAATCATTGACTAGTCAATTTAAATGAAGTAGCCAAAGATCCAAATAGTCAATCACAGAATAGGTGATTCTCTATTTTATGATCCGTGACACGCAATCCGGATCCGGTTCATCTCCGCAATGCGTAGTGTGACGAACTTAAAGCCCGCATTAGATTACGTATTGAAGATTATAATTCAACCAACCAGAACAAAACGTATTAACTCATCCGGCAATGTGGGACTTTGAAGGCACAGATTTTTTTATTGTGAAGTCTCGACTAAATTTAAATCTGTAAAAAATAAATAAAATACATTTCGAGAGAGATCTCTGTGATAATAAAAACGTTGTTAAAATTTTCACAGTAATTTTTCAAATTTTTATACAATCCAGAATATATAAATCTATACTGAAGTTTAAAGACCAAGGTTGCTGACGGAAGGTGCAAAATTACATGTTGCTGACGAAGGATTTTAAAATTGATTGATCAAATTATAGTCGTCAGTTTGTGGTTTTGAAACTTCAATGCATTGGTCTTTAAGTCTTCTGATAGTCCTCTAATTTTATAAATACACTAAAAAAAGAGTCTGATTGCATTAATTAGATTGATAGTGGAAATCAGGATTTTTTTGTTAAATCTATTAGAATTCTAGTCGAAATAATCATGTTCAATTATAATTACCAGAATCCTGGTTGATATGATGGGAATATTCATTTTCAGAATTTTTTTCAGTGTGCTTATTTTTAAAAATTAGTAGAGTATAACGATTAAAATAAGCAACAAATGCAGTAGTTTTAACTAGAAACAGTTATAGGTATAAATATAATTTATTGAACAGATTTTTTCAGAAATCCATCATACTAAAGGCTATGTAAGGCTTCTGAAGCTCTAAATCCGACACTGTCTCCATCTAGATAAGGCCGAGATCGATATCACGGTATAAGTGTCACTTAGGTGATTCCTTTCCTAGATCTCGCATGTTCTCATATACTGCGGTTATTAATCGTCAGCCATGACAGCAATGGTATCCGTGTGACGATCGTACACGTTGACAGAACGTGTTGATGTAGAAAAATACTTTCAGCAAAGTTATTTACATTTCGCTTCCAGATATATAAGCATAAGCGAATCGTGGCCGTCGAGAGCTCGTTGCTTTCAGCTTTATACCTTTTGTTTATGTTTATCCCTATTAAAAGGCACGGTCATGGTACCTGAAAGCAGGTCGAATTCCGCTAAGTCTTAGACTGAGATTATCATGTAATTCGACCCAACATAGATTTCTTAGAAGGATTTTAGATCTAAAGAGAAAAGATATTTAATAGATTATTACTGTCTCGGTTTCACATTTCGCTTTATCCAAATCCTTGGCACTGCTTTCAACGTCAGATTCATTGACTATTCGAAATTAAATTATTTGAGAGTTATGCTAAAATTAATCCTACTGATTCAAATTTATTATACGATCATATCAATTTAGATCAATATGATTAAAAAGGTCTGAAAAGTAATAAAAAAAGTAAACAATTTTTCTTTTAAAAAAAGTAAACTTTTATAAGAAAAAAGATTAACAGAAAAGTCTGTTAATGAAATATCAGAGAAAAATAATATTAAAATAATATTTTATAATATTAAAAATAATATTTTGAAATAAATAAAGTATTAGTTAATAATGTTAAAATAAAAATAATAGTTTTTAACACTAAAGGGACCAAATTGGCTCCAACGGTCTTTCTAGGTAGACAATTAAATAAAAATTCAACCATTTTATGTAAATTGAAAATTTTTTTACTAAAATTAAGAACATGACAAATGATGAAAAGTCACAAAAGGATATTGCGTGGAAGCAAAATTGAAAAAAGTTACATCAGTTTGAATTTCGTAAGGAGCCAAATTGGCTATCTCAATCCTTCTAGTGTTATGTAAATAAATAAAATACTAGTAAGAACATAAATTATATTTTGGATCAAATAGAGTCGGACAGATCAGTAAAAGATTCTGATTAAAAAATTCTGGTGACACCCTTGACGAGAGAAGGGAAGAAGTGAAAGTGTGCGAACGCAGAACGTGCGCGAAGAATCGAATCCGTCATCCAGATATTCGTGCGTTATAAATAGAGCGGTCACCGTAAAATAGACACGCAAGAGAGTAATTCCGTGGCGGTAGATAAGCGTAGCATCCACGCGCGCCAGGCTTTCTTCCTCTTTCTCCTTTTGTGTCCCGCGACGGTCGTCCCGCTTGCATACTCGTTAGAAACGTGACACCGTATGTTTGCATCGAATTCGCCGTTATCGGCCACCGTGACGGAGGCGGATGTCTCGTGGCGAACTCCTCCAGTTTCGTGGTCTGTCAGATTCATTTCGGAGTCATTTCTAATTCTGGATCCTTCACGTCACTGCAAATCATAATTGAGATTTGATAAACAGACTTTTGAATGTTAAACGATTAAGGCCCGATTGCACCAATGTTACTTTGATTTTAAGTGAGGCTTTCTGTCTCTGTCTCTTTTTGATTTTAAAACGAGATAGATAGTTTTAAGTCTCGTTCAAAGTCAAAGTGATATTGATGCAATTGGGCCTAAGTATTGATGAAACATAACAGTAGAAAATATTTTCAATGAGAATTATCCGATCTGAAAAGAAATATTTTTTTCATAATATTAGAAAGATTCAGACATTGAAAAAAAAAAATGATATGATATCAATAACGTTATTTTAAAATAATTTTGAAAATAATCTTATTAATTCAATAACAGTATTAACGAAATAAAATTTTATTAAAACAAGAATATGACATATTTGTCTCATTATTGTTATTGAATTAACAAAATTATTTTCAATTAAAATAATGAATGCTTTTAATACGTCATTTTTTTTTAGTATAAGTACTAATTATTCTTTATGTTTACATCTTAAATTTTGATGCATTTCAGTGCATACAAGCACTTACTATCATACGTGCAACTGTTTTCTATAATATACTACAGATTACAGAATCTAATTCATTTCAGATTTTTACTCTATTTTTATTTGTTATCATATCATTTTCTTTTTTACTGATGACCCATTAACACTATGATCCGTTAACATATATTTCATCATATTTGTGTGTTAATCGCGCTTTTATACGTGCGCAAAATTTAATAGCGAGAATTATCGGTCCCCGATGGGGATTTACGTCAATTTGCATGCAGAGACGCTTATGAAAGATATCCCCGATTTCCGAGTCGGGACGCACCTACCACTCCTTTCTCTTTGTGGTGGTGCACGCCTCTCCGTGGGACGCACGACACATCTCATGACTTGTCAAACAGCCTCTCGAATTCGCTCAACTCCACGCCTAGTTTCGCCTCTCTTTATATCATCTCGCGCAACACATCGTACACTTGATTTCATATTATTTCATATAGCAACGCATCTCCTACTTTACCACTCTTTGGCTCGCTTATAAACAAGTATTAATCTCAGAGGAATCATGTTCAAAAATAAAATGTTTGAATGACTGAACACGATTAATATTAGAATCTTGCATGTTTTCTCTAAGTATACACTATTGATTCATTCATACTCAGTGCCTAATAATACTATCGATGTTTCTTGTTGCAGTGTTGGGCGGTTTTTGCTATTGCGACGGACATTGCCCAGACGGTAGGCAAAATGGAACTTGCGATTTACGACCTGGAGGCCAATGTTTCAGCGCTGTGGAAGAAGTGTGGGACCCCGAGCAGGGAGACTACGTTCCTGAATGGTCATTCGGTTGCTTGCCACCTGCCGAAGGAGGTTTCATGCAATGCAAGGGAAATCAAGTTCCTCACTTACAAGAGAAGAGTATAAAATGTTGTAATCATACGAATTTATGCAACAAAGAATATTTTCCCGATATAACTCACAAGCCCCGTCCTACCATCGATACCAATAGTCCTATAGTCGTGTCATCGGGAGTGCCGCTAATCATCCTAATAATAACATTGTCAGCTGTTTTTGTCATCGCCTCGATAGCGATAGGAATCGTGTATCTTAAATGCCGGAAGAAAGAGCGAGATCCATGCCTAGTGCCATCACAAGGAACCCTCAAGGACTTCATAGATCAGAGCAGTGGATCAGGTTCGGGATTACCACTCTTAGTACAACAGACGATTGCGAAACAATTAGCTATGTCGCAGTGCGTGGGAAAGGGACGTTACGGCGAGGTATGGTTAGCTAGATGGCGAGGTGGTGAAAAAGTAGCGGTGAAGGTCTTCTTTACGTTAGAAGAAGCGTCTTGGTTCCGAGAAACGGAAATCTATCAAACTGTCCTTATGAGACATGATAATATCCTCGGCTTCATTGCTGCCGATATTAAAGGAACTGGCTCTTGGACTCAGATGTTGCTGATCACGGATTATCACGAAAGAGGTTCATTGCACGATTACCTGCAAACAACTGCACTAGATCATCAAGCCTTACTAGCAATCTGTTCGTCGATCGCGTCTGGTATCGCACATTTGCACACGGAAATCTTTGGCACGCAAGGGAAACCCGCAATAGCTCATAGAGATATTAAGAGCAGAAACATTTTAGTTAAGAGAAACGGAGAATGTGCCATAGCTGACTTTGGGTTGGCGGTTCGCTACATCAGGTACGTAGAGATTTAAGAGATATATCTTTTGTTATTAATATTTTTTTTTTAGAATGCAAATTGAGAATGAGAAATTTATCTTTTTTTAGCGAGAGCGGAGAGATTGATATCGCGCCAAATACTCGAGTGGGTACTCGACGTTATATGGCACCAGAAGTGTTGGACGAGACTTTGAATACATCATCCTTTGATGCGTTTAAAATGGCAGATATGTATTCTATTGGTCTTGTATTTTGGGAAGCGTGTAGGAGATGTGTTACAGGTGGCAAGAATACTATGGCGGAGCCTTATGCTTTGCCTTATCACGATGTCGTACCAAACGATCCAGACTTTGAGGATATGCGCCTGGTAGTCTGCGTGAAACGATTGCGTCCAGTTATTCCAACGAGATGGGATAACGATTCGGTAAGAAAAACACTTTGAGAAAAGCAAATTTCCGATTAACCCAGATTTTACGGATTGAATAACGAATAGCTTTTTTTCTTACAGATCCTATATGCATTAAGCAAAATGATGTCGGAATGTTGGCATCCAAATCCACCAGTTCGCTTAACTGCTCTTCGCGTTAAAAAGACATTGTCGAAACTACACATTGATAACGTTAGCATCAAAATCGTGTAGTGATTTGATGTGACTATGAAAAACTGACTCTTCTTCTAGTTAAACAAACAACTTCCTACTCCTGTAAATATGCCCTTAGTGACAATAGAATTATTGACAGACTGCAGCCTGAAGACTGACGATTAGAAGTTTATAAATGTAAGATACAGAGAAAGAAAGAGAGTATGAATGAGTAAGAAATGAATGACCTGACCGATTGTAGATGTAATTGACATGTATATATTATGTATATATATATAGATATATAATCCGATTTCTCTTCATTAAAGAAAAATAATTTTCATGTTAAAAATATAAATTTTCAAAGAAAAAAATGAATGCAAAAAATTTAACATTCTTGTGATAATTTTCTTTTATATTTATATGAAGCTTATCAAAGTTGACGAGACGATTTCGATACAATTCGCCATGTTAAAGCTTGTTGAATACTTAATATTCTATCTTTTATTAAAATTACTTTAATAGAAGATTATTTTAATAAAAACTAGAACAGTCATATAATTTAGACTATATTTGATTATATAGAGATGTAAAGCGAATTCAGCGTGTGAAAGTATTTGATATGTCACAATACAAATTTTCCACACAAGATACATTTTCGTCTACGTCGCATCACTCTTTTTGTGTTCGGAATTTGAAAGCGTATGTAATGTGCCTAACGAGATCTTATAAGCTAAGGTAATACTATTTTACGGCTTATGTCACACATGCCGAGAGAGATTTCTCTTTAAGTACCTCAAAATATATTTATTATTGAAGACTAGCTTCACAATATACGCGTTGCGCATATGATGAAATTTATGTGAAACCAAAATTCGCGCGTTGTAACAAATAATCGCAGATTAATTTATATACGACTACAATTTCGATTATAATTGAAATTGTAATCATATTATCGCGCGCAACTTGTGAACTAATTAAATATTGAGAATAACATTTTTATATAATATATGACGCAAAAGAGTTACGTTAATTGATAACTGCAAATTATTATGCGCAAGCTTATATTATCATTTGTAAAATTTGTAATTTATATTTCTAACTTGTACAAATGGAATACATTAATTATTCGAAATACTATATGATCGATTGTTGATCATCCCAAAATGTTTTCGTTATGCTGCCGATGTACTCTTCGAATTTTTATGCTTTTGTACAGTGAAAATAACTAGAAAGAAGGAAATTGTGAAAAAGTTAACAATTACATAGTGCAATAACAGTATATAATGATATAATGTTATTTTAGAAGGCAATATGTAATCCCACATATCCCTTCGAATTTGTGTAGCATTTACTATGTAACGATCAAAATCATTAATTATTAATCAAATTAATTAATCTTTTTATGTAAATTAAAGATTGTAAAAATATGTTTTCCCTCTCTTCCTTTTTTTATTTTCAAAAGTTTTTTTCTTATCAAGTTGATCATGAGATTGTTACGTATGAAATTTATGTAATTAAACAGAAAAAAAATTGTAGATGATTGTTAGTTAATTGAACAATGAAATTTATATTTCTAAAAATTAAATATTCATTTTTTCTATGTCCTTTTTCGTCAAAAAAAGTATATGGTCTTTATTTTCTTTATATGTTTAAGTTTATATTCCACTTTTATATTCTGCATGTTAAATATCGTCGTTTAATTAAGAGTATATTATATAATTATTTTTGAAAAGATTACAAATGTAGGAAACAAAAATGCAATGTAAAGAGATCAATTCATTGTAATTTCGTTTCCTTTGTCATTTTCACTTTGAAAAAATGAAGCAATAATAACAATAATACTATTTCCTTATATTTCTATAAGCTTTCTCAGAACAGCTAAGCTATTTCAGACTAGTAGACTATTAAATTCAGATTGTTTAAATGTTGTTCCCATAGAAAAAATGTTATTTAGCAAAAATAGCTTTCCTTTAAACATACAAGGTTCAGAGAGATTAAAATGTAATATGCAGACAAGAGATTTAAACACAAGAGAAAGCTGTATTTATCAATGCATTGTGAGGTGATAATTGATTATAATATCTGAGACAATCAGAATTAATTTTTTTAAATTATCAATTATTGTAGGTGTATGTAAAGAGTTTTAAAAGCGATTTTTTATTAACACAATTTCTAACAAAATTGTGTTAATAAAAAATCGTAATTAATCGTAATTAATCGTAAAAATAATTATATATTAATACATGTTTTTCTTTCACTATTCCAGTCCGATCTGTTTATTCTTCAACTGCTTTAATGCTCCATCGGTAATATTTATCTTTAATAATACCACGCTCCACAATTAGGTCTGATCGCGTTATTTGCACTTTGTACATTCAGCATCTTCGCTTTCTCTCTTTTCAACTTCTAAATATATATCCATCTCATTTGAAATGCAGAAATATTTGAAGAGCAAAAAATATAATATTTCAAGCAACACGAACAGACCTGTGATGTCGAATTAGGTTAGGTTAGGTTAAGTTAAGTTGACTCCTTGGAATATTTAAGTTGGCAGCAATGATTTCTGTACAGGAAGAGACGCCAACCGCGACGCGCATTCTCTCGCGTCGCTGCATACTTCCGCTTCGCCATCTTTTACTTCGGGAAATCGTGTGCCGTTTCGTGTCCTGTTTCTATCGCGTAGTTTTTACGGACTACTGACTTGGTGAGTACCAAAACAATTTATTTCATCTTGCTGGAATCGCCGCGATCGCGTGCGAGCGAGCAAATACGGACATCAACTGGAATACGTTTGAACGACTCGATAATGCCACATCGAGCTCGATGCGGCGTTCCACTTGATGCGTTTAGCCGGTCTCTCCTAATCTCCTAATATAGTTTCTCGAACGATTAAGTTATCGGTATTCAGATCTAGCGGAAACATTTACTGCGGAATGTGCGTCCGCTGGCGATCGTGATCGTTTCTCTCGTGACGAGCGGTGATCGGCGTGATCGGACTCGGGCGAGGCGTCGCGTGAACAGAGTAAATGCGTCGTGTTCTCGATTGTTCGATCACTGCGCTTCCATTATCACGAGGTGGAATGTTAGAGAGCATTTACTCATGCAATGTCGCGATGCATGTATCTCTGTACTCCATTCGATTCGCAGCGTGCTATTCCTTCTTCCCGCGATTTATCAATTGGGAAAACAAACGCGATGGTCGCCGGTATGTTTGAGTTGTATAAACTCATCCTGTCGACATTTCGTGACGCGCGAATGATGATGCGTCTCGCATCAAATGCGTCACGTCATTTGTATGCGACATGGAGTGAATCGATGTGCCTTCCCTTATTTGTTTTTCTTCCACATCATTTTTTTTCGCGGTGTTGAGAATTCGGACTTGAGTTCGCGATCACGCGATTTATATTTTCTTGACACTGCGATGAAATTAAAGCCCATGACACATAGAAAAATGTACAGTAAGGATGATTACATCAACGTTATTTTAACCTTAAGCGAGGTTCTCTCTCTATCTTTCTGTCGACTTTAAAAAGAGAAAGAAGAGCTTTAAAAAGAGAGAGAAGATTTTAAAAAGAGAAGCTTCGCTTGAAGTCAAAATATCGTTGGTTCAATCGGATCTAAGAACAGTAAAGCCTTAAACACAATGAAAGCAAATAGGAACAAAGCACAACAGATTCAATCTATTAGAAATAATGTATCAGAATTCTAGTATATACAGTTTCTGATGGATTGAAATCTTTTATCCTCTATTCTTATTGCTTTTCATTGTGTTTAAGGCTTTACTGCTTAAGTTTTTTTGTGTGCCAAAGACTTTACAATTGAAATAATATTGTGTAACTGTAAGAAATTGATCAATCATAGTTGGTTGTTTTTCCATTTGACTGTGATTGATAGATTTTGTACGACTTATTCATATTCCAATTGTAAACGGTCCTTTAAAGTTCTGTTATTTTTCGAAGAAACTTCTGAATTGATGCAATATTTATTTATAATTGGAAATAAACTATATTTTGAGACTATTTACTGAAATATTTATAATTTTATTAATCGCTATCTAGTCAATTTGCTCATTTTTTATAATTTTTATTTCATTTTAAGATGCACGATCGACTTTTAGTACAGTTCAGTGCCACTCATTGTGTATCTTGAAACGAGAGAAAAATTGTAAAAATGAGCAAATTCACTAAATGTTGAGCAATGAAATTATAAATATTTTAGTGAATTCGCTCACTTTTATAATTTTTATTTTATTTCAAGATACACAACCGCTTTCTAGAACTTTCTTCGAAAAAGAACAGACCTTATAGTTATCGACTGGCGGGACGACGCCTTTCTCGCGCCCGACGAGTTCTATCGTCTATCCTCGTCTCTCTTGGACGCTCATTCTTGATCCATTGCGGTAATTTTCCATCGTCGGTTCGCGCCTCGTATCGTTCGCGAGCTCACGGTCGAGACGCTACACATGTCAGACGATCCTTGAATTCCGGCACGACTGTAGTCTTTACAAACGATGCATTGTATCGTCTCCGTTAAGCCAATGGCACACGAGCTAATTTTTCCTACTGGATTGCTTGCGTTTTAATGAATTACCAGAATTTCGCCACAGAATACAGAATTTCTAATAATTCGTCACAACACAACGCAATCGATCCAGCAGGAAAATATGCATTGTGTGCCGTAGTCTTTATTAATTTCAGTCGCCTTACGTTTCCTCAAAGTTAATAATACTTGGTAATACGAGGTTTAGGCAAGATTCCAATTATTGCGCATTGTTTTGACAAATATCATATCATCCACGACTTTTGGCCTACCATCAATGTCATTGCTCGGAAATTCGTGTTTGTTTAATATTTCATTCGTTAACAATTCAAATAGGAATCTAAATGTTCCGCCAACAATTGGGGTATTTAAGCTCATGTCACATCACACATTAGAGATGAGGATTGTGAATTAGAGATTATAGGTTTTCTATTATAAGTCATTACCTGAGTTTTAAGCTGTAAGAAATTGACTAATTACAGATTGGTCAGTTTCTCAAAACTCAAAGCTTAGGTAATAATTTGATAGAAAGCCTATTAGAATTCGACCAGTCTGATAATTTTAATTTTAATTTTTTATCTAAATCTATAAAAAGTAAGTAAAATACAATCCTACTTCTATAATGGTAAAACACATTGTAAAACTTTAATAAGCATACCAGAAATTTTTTCAGACTTTTGTAATACAAAACAACAAAAAGATATGCTTTGCTTCTGAAAGACCCTTATTGCTGACGAAGAGCAAAAATTTATGTTGCCGGAGGATTAAATAGCAAAGCGACAAATTTTGTGTTTCTTCTGTTACTCTTACTGGAAAATCAATAATCGAGTGAATGACTCATCGTGTTTTTTTTGGCTGGCTTCATGAAAATTCGGCATTAAGGAGGCGGATAAAGCGCACCGTCATATGGCTGACGTTATTTCTAAAAATACTGCATGCAAGTATTAACGTGATTGAATGCACCGAACACTGCATGTAACGTTATAAATATGTATCAAATTGAATGAATAATAATAATAATTTTTGTACTGGATTTGATGTTGCTTTCGTTATGAAAGTCAAATTTCAATTTTAAAATCTTCATATTTCTACTCATTTATATGATAATACATACATATACAAAAAGTTCTGAGAGTTAAGACACAAAGAACTAGGGCTTGTATTCTTAAAAGTACCGCGTCCGAGTTTTCAATGCACCGAAAGTTTGCATATAATGCAATATTTATCAAACTGAATGAATAATAAATTTTCATATAAATTTTATTTTTGTATAAAATTTGATGTTGCTTTTGTTGTGAAAGTCAAATTTTAATTTATAATACCACAAAATGTATACAATAATATACATATATATATATTGTAGATTTTCTTTATTTTCGTAAAATTGAGAATAAAATATTGTATAAGTTTCAACATATACGAAGTCATGCTTAGAAAAATACGATAAATTCATTGCTCCTAAATACCTATGTTTTCAATTTCCCTGTGCTTAATTTCTGGTTTGTTGCATTAGGGCTCTTATTTATTAAGAAATACTATAAATATCCTTTATCTCTGTCGTTGAGAGACCGAATATGGATGCTTTCCATTTGGTGACACAAATCGACACAAGTATTGTTTTATCTTTGTAACTCTCTGAATGTCAAGAAGGACGAACGACGTTTGTGTCAACTTGTGTTATCAAATGGAAAGCACCCTATATATCCATTAATCACACAACGGAAGAAGGTAACGTAGGGAATTGCGGGAAGCGGATGTGTCCAAGTTATATTCACTCTTCCTGCTCCGTTTGGCACACGTATTGATGAGATACTATTAAAGACCGTCAATCCTGAGCAAATTTTTGGCGGTATAAAAAGGGCCTCAAGGATCCGGAGATAATTAAAGAACGCTGGCATTATTGACAATTGATACAAATTTGCTATTATTAACATAAATATTTGGCTCATTACATTATTAAATTTATGATTTTTTATTACATAAATATTCCATAAATAAATATGCATACTTATAAAGTTATAATATTCTATATATTGCACAAAAATTACAATTTTTTCTTTGCACTTATCATCTCTGTTGATAATTAAACTTTTACGATAACACTGAAATCGCAATTTAAAAAAAAAATTGAGTATTTATTGACTTATAAATTCGTCTACTAAGCTAATAAATCATAAAATTAGTACAATATTATCAGTTTTTAACTCTTAATCACTTCAATATTCACAAGAACGCGGACTTCCGTAAGGATGTCGATCTTTAATAGTATCTCGTCGATGGCACACGGATCGCAGTGAGGCTCGATACTTCTGATTGAACTGAGCATTTAAGATGGCGGGAACGGAGCGCAGTTTGAATTCTCCCGCGCTCGACCGGCGTCGCTCGCTATTGGCTCGTACAACTTCGCCTACGCTCGACCAGCGCTACTCGCCATTGGCTCGCTCCGCTCCGTCTACGCCTATCTTCACGTCGCCGGCAAGCGCGTGATAGGTTGCGGAACGCACTAGTGCCGAGCTCAGGCGGACGACGCGGCAAACGGCAGAGACGCCATTACTACCGTTGCGTTTCTCTAGTGTGCGCGTCTTAGATCTTTCCGTTTCACAGCGCCGGGGACCGGAATCGTTCTACCTTTTACTTCCGTACTTCGCTTTCTTTCGTCACGTCTGAGTCGCGTGCGATTTTATTGTTCCGTGAATTCCACGCGGATTCCTTTGTACGCCGATACGCTGCCGTGAACAGTTCGACGCAGGTACGTACTTTTGCGTCGACGAAAGATCGTCATGACGATCTCTTTGTCGTCGCGGTTCCTACAACATCCTTTTACAAGAAACGTAGTCGCGAATGAGTTGAAATTCTTTCGTATCACAAGGCAAGTTCGTTAGAGCTGTAGGAATATCGCGGCTATGCGTAAATTAGTCTGGGAATCGTAGACAAGATGGAGGAAAGGCAAGCGTTGGAATCGAAGTCAATCGCGTTACTCTGATTTCCTTTCTTTCGAGTAGTCGCCCAGTCGCCGAGAAAGATATCGTCCCACGAGATTGCGTCATTCGGGCGAAAGAGATGGTTGCAAAATTGTGGATGTATGGAACGCTAGTTATTTTGAGAAATGACGAGAAAGCTGATTTTAACGTTTTGAGTAACCTTGAAATTAAATTCTAACGGTCGTCACAATTATCCAGGTTGTTCTAGCGTGATTGGTGTTTAGATTGATGTAGACCGGCTAGAATTGATGTATTTTTTCCATAGATGTTTGTAAATATTTATTGTATGAGGATCACATTCCTAGCATCGAAATCCACATCCGCCGGTATTATCCGGCTTCCATTGCCTCGCTTTAGCGACGCAACGCTATGCGGCGCAGGCATCTAAACTCCCGGCCGAATTCTATGGCTGAATGAAATGGCGGGGACGAGTACGCTAAATGGATTAGCGTCGCTAGATATATCTGGAACACGATGCAGACTGCAGATGAATATTTGATACTATACTTTATAATTATTTAAAATTCTTATCGCGAAAAAATTTTCATCTTCGAAGTAATATAATTTATTATTATGGGCCTACAAATATTAGTTGTTTATTATTTCAATGACGCCACCGTAAATAAATTTTTATTTTTAATTTGAAAATATATAAAAATGAAAATAAAAATGCAATATAATTTTAAGTTTAATTAAAAAAAATTTATTACAAGTGATTATATTTTTATATTTAAAAATTTATGTTAAGCTGCATGGAGAGAGACAAAAGGTGGTATTACTGTTCTTATATGTACATCTTTGTGACATTAGGTTCTTGTACGAGCCGCAAAATGCCGGGTTTTAGCAGCGTTGGCACATTTAAAATCTTCATTGGTAATTTAGCCGATAAGACCTCGAACGCAGACATAAAGCCATTGTTCGAGAAGTATGGAAAAGTAGTGGAATGCGATGTGGTAAAGAATTATGGCTTCGTGGTAAGTGTTGTATCAATTTAATCGAATACTTTAATCAGTGATCAGGCGATGATATGATTATCAGGATTGATAATTGATAATACAGAGTGATACCTTTATTTACACAGCATATGGAAAATGAAGAAGCTGGTCGAAATGCGATACAAAATCTGAATGGACACATGGTTCATGGTCAGCCGATAAAATGTGAAGCTGCAAAGAGTCGCAAGGGACCCAACACTCCCACGACGAAGATCTTTGTGGGCAATCTTACAGATAACACTAAGGCGCCGCAGGTTCGCGAACTGTTTGCTAAGTACGGCACTGTTGTTGAGTGCGATATCGTAAGAAACTACGGTTTCGTTCATCTGGAGGCAACTGGCGACGTGAACGATGCCATCAAGGAGCTGAATGGTCAGATCGTGGATGGACAACCGATGAAGGTCCAGATATCTACTAGTCGAGTACGACAGAGGCCAGGCATGGGGGATCCGGAACAATGCTACCGATGCGGACGAGGCGGTCACTGGTCGAAGGAATGTCCCAAGGGAGGGATGGGAGGTGGACCAGATAGGAATGGATACAGGGACCGAATGTTTGGACGCGATCCTTATCCTCCACCGCCGCCACCACCGTTCCTACGGGACCGGCTCATGGGTGGTGGCCGCTTTGGGGTAAGTTTTTTTTTTAACCAATGTTTCACATACCGTTTATGTACACAGTATGTATACATAAACATTCGGATCATTCATGTTATCGATGACTTTCATGTTGATGGATAGCATAGATGATTGCAATATGAGAATATCTTGTATTAATTTTTCCTCTGGGATTTCCGTTTGTTTAACAGGATTACGAAAGCTACTACGACAGGCGCGGCTTCGAGGACACCAGGGACCTCTACGAGAGGCGGTTTACGGGTATGACAGGGCCCAGTGACATGGGTTCTACCATGTGCGGGCTAGACTTTCCACCAATGACAATGCCACCTCTACCACCAAGACGAGACCCAATGCCTCCTATGCCTCCTCTAGGTATGGGATCCATGCGTGACACTGGCTTCTCCCGTGGTAACGAGTATGGAATGTTCAGCCGCCGATCACCCCCTCCAAGTGGCAACAACGGCCGGTTCAGGTGAGTAGGTACCCGGCGTACCGACTGCCCATTCGTCCGACTTAACATTGTGAACGTTCCAGGCTGGATTAACAGCTCATGCGAATTGGGGTTTCGGTGATTCGTCGACATTATTTCTAGTCTCTGTTGCACATTTTTTCTTTCTCTTATCATATAGATTTCAGCTTGTATCTCCTTATAGTATATCTTTCCTTATTTTTTTATTTTATTCCCATGAAAAAGCGAATGTTAAGTTATGGACAAGCGATCGCGAGTCTTACAATGTTCACTTCATATCTACTTCATTATAAACCTCTGTCGTCCTTTTTCGACGTTTTTTGTTAAATGTACTGCCACTCTTTTTATCTCTTCTGTCTCTTCTTACTTTTCTATCGTCGTATATTATAAACTTCTTCTCTCTGACAATTGATATCGCGCGGCACAACGCATGATCGTTATCGTCTATGCAAATATTACTTTCTCGTACTTGAGATTTTAAGACTTAATACTTTTACACACACGTACCAGTGTCGACCCGATGCCCACATGAGTGCAGACTCCGTCGTAGTGAAATGTTAATTATATGACGCTTGGACGTTTCTGTACATTCTAAATTTCAGTGCACCTCAGGCGTACCATCTTTGTCCATGAACGCGGGCAACCCTAGAGAGACAGTCCCGGGTCAGCGTTCAAGTCGTACAAGAGTAAGTCTTTGACTCATTTTGTTAGCGAGTAGTCACGCCTCGTTCTTGTCGCTGCAACAACCCGCGTCAGAAATACAATAGCAGCCGCCTACGTCGTCTGCGTCCCATGGTGTTTGAATTTTTTTCCGGGTCTCGACTGATTGTTCCTTGAACATGTCGACTGCTCTTCTAGGGATGTCCTAGTTCATAGACTCTCTTGATCCATGGCATTAACTGCGAAATTGGCCTGTATGTCTCTCACTGAATCCTTTGTGTTTCAAGCGCTCCCTATTACGTACATCACTCAGCCGGGAGTGGCGCGGAGGCCTGGGATGAAGAAACGTACCTAAGGAATGCGAATTAGAATTTCTTGATCGCACTACCGCGAGCCAGGATGCTCTGCAATTTTAAACGAAACTCGTACGCTGTAGATAGAGAAAAGAAAGAAAAGCAAACAGGGCTGGCGCGATTTTGGAATGACGCATCGAATTGATTGTCTTTGAAACGTGTCGTAAGTAGAAACCAGCTCTCCAGACGATTTGGATCAGTAAGTTTATATCGGTATCTTCCGTAATCTTTTCAAGTTTCACAAACTTACGAACATAAACTTGATAACATCGATTCGATTGAATCTAATTCGATTCAATTTTTTTTGATGCGCAAATACTTTTTTTTTATTGATTAAATCATGATTAAAATACTGTCACTTTAATAGTAAAAATATTGACATAACAAATTTTAAAAGATGTTATGTCGATGACAGTGGAAGTATTTTCAAATTGAGCAATGAGCTTGGGAATATTTTTCTTTCTTCTTGTTTACTATCAGTAAAATGTATATTTTTTTCCTTGTGCAGTATATATTTTTAAGTTGTAATGCGAGATTGAATTTCTTGTTTTAGACTATGGAAATCGCTTTTTTCTTGCTGTTTTCCCGTTTCATTAAATAACCAATTACTTCAAACATTTTCAATTGAAGATACATTTTCGTCTCAGTTGATGTATTAATTTGAATACACTTAAAGTTTCGTACGAAACACAAAAATTATCTTATTAAATCATAAATTACAAAATTATCCTATCATTATCATTCGGTCGAATCGGAATTCCGCGAAGAGATATTGTCAGTTTGTCCGCGTGTTTTCTAAAATTAGTATCCATAGCTCTTGAAGTTGACTTCTACTCACGAGGTTCAAAGCTTTTCATGTATGTAAATCCATTCGCAAAACAGAATTTCAAATAGAAAACAGAATTGATTGAATTTCTCAGTTTTTCTAAATACTTTGAATTTGTTGTTGCACGTTACCACCTCATTACCCCATACTATCCCAGCCTGGGCTGCAAATGGCTCTTATTTTTTATAATACTCTTGTTGGTTTTTTTTTGCGAGAAGCTGTAATACAAGTCGCATGGGTTAAAAATCCAGTCTACCGCTGCCTGCCTCATATGACTAGTTACATCCCACATTCTCCTGGCCAGCCCTTCACTTTCACGATCGAGTTGTACAGATAGCGAATTAGTACAGATAGTTTGCATTTCGCTGTCGTAGGTTTTTGTAGTTGTTACTCGTCCATTGCGTTTCTGCGCTCGAGTTTGCGAACGATTATTAATCATGCATCATTGAAGGTTTGTCAAACTCATTTAACGGATCAAAATTTTTCCTTGTACATACGCCTACACGTGCGCGCGCACACGTGCACGCGTTTGTATTTGTATATCCGATGTAATGGAGTGATAGGAAATTGTACTGTAAATTTAGTAATTCTATGATCTGCGTGTTATATCCTGTCTATTACATTGTTTGTCCCAATTTTTACTCTCAAGGTAGCGTAATAGACAAAACATTCCGTCCCCGATCCTGAGTCATATTAGGCGAGGCACGCGATCTTGCACGTGAATCTATATGTATATACAGGGACTAATTCACAAAGTTAAGCCTTGGACAAGGGAGCCAGTATATGGTATATGTTGATCTGATCTCATTGGTAGATTCGATTATTTATTATACCGCTGTTATAGTAGAGGCATGTACGAGGACTTCAGCCGAGATTCGTTTGAAGAGCGTAGGTAAGTAGAGTGAAGTGCCTGGGATTATAATATTATGTCCAAATTGAAATCCTCATATGTCGCGAGATTTAGAAACAATATTAAATCGCCCTCTTCTTTATATCATGATCGTGCCAAGAAAATATTTTTGTTTAAAAAAAATTTGAACACTTAGATATTCATTTTCACCTTCTTTCGAAATACCATGTGTTTCATTTTAATTACCATAGGCAAATATCTCGAAAAATGTGGAAGATACGAAAAAATGTTTCAGACAAAAGTTGTATGGTTTCGAGAGGGACATAAGACGGTGCTATTAATTTGACCTTTAATAATTGTATGAAGGTCACATAAAGATCACTTTTAATTTCTTAAATAAAACGTCTCATTTTTTATTTTATTTTCTTATAGTTTTCTCAAGAGCTTTCCAAAATGCTATAATAAAATATTTTTTCATGACATACTTTTCGAGTTATATGAGTCCAACTGACGGCTAAAAACCTTTTAAATGTTGTCCTGGATAACGTTTGTCAAGATCAAGACCATTAGAGATTATTCCTCTTATTTTCATTTTTGCAATAAAAATTCATTTTTATGTTAAAAATGAAAATTAAAAGTACAACCTTCAATGGTTTTGATCTTGACAAATGTTATTCAGGATATGATTCTGAACAGCATACAAGCCAAGGTATTGGTCAGACCTTGGTAATGCTAATCCGACATGTGACTTTCAAGCCTCATAATTCGATCATAAGTACGTCATGAAAAAATATTTAATTATAATGTTTTGGAAATCTCTTGAGATAAGAAAATAAAATGAAAAATGGGGCGTTCCATCATTCATTTAAGAAATTAAAAGTGACCTTCATACAATTATTCAAAGTCAAATTAATAGCACTGTCTTATGTTCCCCTCGAAATACATAAAACTTTTGTCTGAAACATTTTTTTCTAATATTCCATATTTTTCGAAATATTTGCCTGGGGCGATTAAAATAAGACACGGTATACTGACAGTAATGAAAATCTAGAGCATATGAAAAGTGAGTTGTAGATTTTCTGTATCAATTTGGAACGCATTATTTTATTCCGTATGAATCGTGATTCGCAAGAATTTGTACAGATCATTTAATAGCAATGATTGAAAACACATTCAACATCACAAGATATTTTAAAACATGATCTTTCATAAAGAAGAGTGCTCGGATAAAGAATTGAATGTTCTAATGCAAGTTGCGCGAATATTCCTACTATCGTAAAGCAGAAGAATCAGTAAAAAAAAAAGTTTAGCGAGAAAAACGAGGTATTATCCGAGCTGTATGTCCGCTCCCCTTTTCTTTATTTTTTTAATCATTTTTTTCTTCTTTCTTATTCTACTATTTACGATATTTCACTCTACGTACGTGCTCTATTACTCTACATTTCTATCTTCTTTTTTTTTTCACGCAAATATATTACCTTTAACATTTACAATCTATATCTATCCGTGCTTTGATCCGCATCATCGATCTCGTGACTGACGTGACATAATTTTGGTTACCAGACCGGGATTACGAGGGCCATCGCCGTCGCGCCGGTTCGCACCATACTAAATCGTCGCGTCGGGCTCGGATCGGTCTCTGTCGGTCGTCGGTCCGTCGGGTCTGTCTGTCGCTAGCAGGAAGCCTCGGAACCGAGATACTCTTGGCCGTCTTGCAAACTGCACGCGTGAAGATCTGCCGCCCGCTCTATGAGAAACAAGTGCTCTACCCGCAGTGCGATCTATTTAGACGGAAAAAAAACCGAAACATAGCCAGCCGAAAATAGCACAGATATGCAAAAATTATGGAAAATTATCATTCCCCATCCGACGAATCCTCGTATCTTTCCAGAGACTCCCGGCTTGACGATCCTTTCGTATCTCTTGTTGTCTACTGTGACCACTTTCGCACCCCTCCCTCATACATTTGTATAAAGTCAGGTATCTTCGACGTGTCAAAAAAAAAGGGATACGGCTCCACTGCGGAGACACTTCTCGATCCTCGAAGCTTCATTTTCCTTTCTCAAAGTCTCTTGCTTGTTTGGGAACTCGTAGCTCAAATATAACTCTTGCAATTTGTAACTTAAAGACTTATAACTTGTTAAAAAATAAATAAATAAATAAAAAATGTAGGATCAACGAAAGCTTTGCAGTGGAGTCGTATCTCGCAGCGGTTGAATCCGCCGATCGTTTTCGGGTTTTCTGTGACGATGACACATCCATCCCTCTGCGTAACAATCGATAGACTCCATAGTTACGCGCGTTACGCACCTTTCCGCGGGGACCGCTAGACGAGGTAACAACCGCTTGGCGAAGGTACTGCGTATCACTGTAATTCTTCACACAATTGAACACTCGCGATCCACTATTGTCGATTGTCAATCTCTTATACGACTGCGTCATACGTGGATATCATCGCGCGTTAGAGATAAACGGAACAAGATGGATTGAATCCAAACTACGATCTTATTCAATGCGTCGAACGGATGCGAGATTCACTGTCGCGAGCATTCTTACGTTCCGAGAGCGGTACTCGCGGTTGGTCCCTTAAAAAGAAAAATGAAGATCGCTTTAATTGTGCATGTGCGTTTGTATACACTTAGCGCGGCCTACGTCTTCTCGTGACACCTTCACGAATACGCTGACAATTGTAAGATCTTTAATTTACATTTCTTTACAAAATTGTTCATTAAAATAATATGCTGCGTATATATGTACATGTATATATACGAAAAGGAAATATGAGGAAAACGTAATAAAGATAAATTATTAGGAATGACGGATATGCTACTTTACTTGCGTCAAAAATTGTTTTATCGATTGGTCTGCTCTTAAAGCTCTTTGTTCTCTCTTTTGGATTTTATTAATGTTCATCGACGAAAACCGTGACGCGGTTTGTGAAACGGAGATGAAAAGAAAAGTTTCTGAATGAGTAATTTTAGAAATTATTTTTAAAGTGTTAAAGTTGAGAGCATGCCTCATTTTCCAAGTGATAGAATTCATATTATATTGAGAAGCATTTTGTTATTTTTCACATATAATTTATAGAAATGTAAATTGGATTTCTCTCTCTTACGATTTTAGCGTATTCTTAAAAATATATCAAGAAGACGTAGACCGTGTTTAAAGAAGAAAGAAAAAATAAGCGTTTGCCGAAATCTTTCCCCAAAGGGGGGTAGCGTGCGGGTCTGATCGTTCAGAAAAAACCTGTTTTCATAACGCTGTTTTCTTCATTGCAAAAAGAAAAGAAAAAGTTATAATTGGACTTAGACCCGGTAGGATGCGCCGATTCTGTATGGAAATCTAAGTGGCGGAACATTTATTCTTAGCGTATAGTAACGTAATCTTTTTATTAACGTAGGATTAATTCTGACGTAAAGAAAAGACGTGCTGTAGTCTGTAATAATCGCACTTCCGTTTTGTTCGAGCGTAGAGACTTGCTGTAAGGTTTTTTTCTCCCGTCTACGCTTTTTGTTTTTTTTTGCTGAGAACCGTGTTCTTTTTTTTTTTTCTTAAAGATTATAATAAATTATAACCACACGATATATTGCTAATAATGATGCTGAATATAAGAGAAATGTAATAACATGTATTTGTGAAATTCACAAGAAAAAAACGTGTACTGCGTGTTTCTTTAATTATATCACACCGACCGCTCTCTCTCTCTTTCGCGGTGTACCCTTTGCCAGCAACAACCATCCAGGAAACCACCCTAAATCCTTCCTTTGTCGCACTACGAAAATCTTGATCGGGTACGATCGGACGCGCGCTTCCTTCGCTGGCTTCCTGCGCGTCGTGCGCGCGTTTCCGCTTCGCATTAGCTCAATAAAAAAAAAATGAATGAAATTTCCCGTCAAAATCTCGATATGAAACGCGCGCGACGTGTTCGCTCATGTTACTCTGTCTATCTTTGCTGCCATTCTTGTGTTACCCTTCACAAGTCTGATTGTCGATCCGCAGATAGATCAGCGATATTTCCTCCATCGAACAACTCAAACTGCTTCTACTTTTCTAAATTTTTATTTAATTGCGATACAGTACAATCTGTATGAATTAATTACAGCGATATTTAGATTTTAGTCATGTAATCAGACCGTCCAATAATTTGGTAGATTAGGGATCAATTAGAGTTACGAGTTTGTCAATTACTTAGCCAAAATTACGTTTAATCAAATTATTTGTTAAACAATCATAATTGGACATGTAATTTAATTGTAATTGCATATGTGAATAATATTTAGATTAGACATCCTGGTCTATATAGACGTTGTCCTATATTTTTAATATCATTGGAAATTAGTGTCTCTTCATAATTCATCGAGAACTATTTCACGTTTCGTGTGTTCCTGGCTCGATGACTATTTTTTTTCTTAGTTCTGTTAAACGAATTTCTCTCGAAGAAGCCTTACCAGCCTTTTATTTCTATATTTTACTCTCAATAGAGTGGGAAAAGTAGAGACAAGATGCACATGTAATATAGTACAATGTAATATACTATATTATTTTCGCACTCGTCGGGCATGCAGTCGTGCGTTGATTATGTCGTTAATCATTCCCGGATTTCATGGTTTTTTCGTGACAAACGTCAATGGGAAATTTAAATTAGTCGCACGATGCATGTCCGATGACGAAAGGATTTCAGCATTCGTGTATAAATATAGGATGTTCCGGAATCACTAGAGATATTCTATCAGCTACACGAATCTCGTGATAAAAATTGGGAATAATTTTAAGTAGCGAAAATTTTATAAGTGGCATTATATTCATACTTTGTTTGAATGTATTTCTATAAAATTATAAAATTTGAGAGAATAGAATTTTTTATCAAATTAATTGTTTAAGATGCTTTTTTTAATTCAAATTCTTTCTAAATTGCTGTAATTTTTTGTTTTGTTTAAAACAACTTGCATGTTTCCTGGCTTGTCTAAAAGGATTATCCGATGATTTTATAACATCCTATCTAGTCCAAGTAGTATTCTTTGTGCATCTCTCACGTGTTGCTTTGAACCAACAAAATAATGGAGATTTTGAACTTAGCAACGTTGTCGTTTCCTTCAAATGTTGATCATCTTAAAATAAAGAAAACAATTTAAAAGTACAGGGAGAGTTTTTTATAATTTCTCATAGTTCTTCGAAGAATCTTTACACGATCTATGTGTGTCATTTGCTTGTTATTTCGCGAACCACCATCGTATCACATATTAAGCGATCTATTCGAACTGATGCGTTGTCGATTCCCTTCGTTTTTAAGACGCTCATACCTTTAAGCATGTCTCTTTATCGAGATGTGTCTGCTTCTCTCTTTTCTCCTCTGTAATTGCTTGTTTCAGTCTCAGTAGTCGAAAGCAGGGATTGCTACGGGTTATAGTTTTGTAAAGTTCAAGTTTCGATGCTGTAGATGTTGGGAACAACAATTATACGATGTTTTCTCTGAAGTCTGGTAAAAAAAAGTAAGGTGGTAAAAGAAAGTCTGGTAATAGGCACTAAATGTTGAGTGAAATAATTTTAATTAAATGTTTGATTAATATTGCCAAAAATAATTTAATTTCCTAAATATTTAATAAGCATTATCAAACATAAAAATCAACCGTTTGATAATAATTACTAAATATTAAAAAAAAATAAAATTATTTTTAGTTATATTAATTGAATTGGTTATATGATTGAAATTATTTTACTCGACATTTTGTAGCTATTAAAATTTTTTTCAGTACTTACGGCATCGAAAATTGAAGTCTAGAGATTATAACAGCTTTGATCTCTGATTCCTCTATCTCTGTCTTAAAGAATTAAGGGTCATCGTAGCAAGATCCGTCGAACACTAAGTGAAATCGTTCGTTGTATGACTGATGTTTTCAGAACAATTGGCACCGCGGATGAGGTGGTCGCGCACGAGCTAGCATATAGCGCGAATAAGTCGCTTCATCATGCATACACGGATGTGGAATACTAATTCTCCCTCTATATGTGTTAAAACAAGGGAACACTGGGAAATAATATCGAATTCCGATATAAGCCTGCTACGTACCTTTCTCGTGTTAACAGTACGAGATGAGTACCTGTTTTGTACATTTTTTTTTTATACGTGACTCACGTGTGTTTTTGCTAGTTCTTATTTTTTAATAAATATCAAAACACGTGCGAACGACGTCTCCTTAAATTGTGACTGAGAATTCAACCCTTTTTCTAGCTGGCTCTCTCGAACTAGGCTGAGTTTGTTCGTCGAAAGCGATTGTATCGTTTGTAGATTGAAACTCTAACTGAGAAGAAGAAGGAGACAGTCTTCCCATCTTTAAACTCAATTGCTTACGTATTCAAATATATGTTTATTACCTAACTATGAATATTGTAGACATGTATATTTACAGCATCAATCTATTGATATGACTTTCACGCGTTCTTCCTCTTCTCGGTTAATCTGTTGTCCCTATTCCATAAGCACGGAGGAAAGATTTGCAATCCTTTCGCCGTATTCACATCTTTAGTAGTGCGATTATCGTTCTCTTGCATAAACTTCCGATTAAAGCCAAAGTTAAAGCTGTTTCCAGAAGTACCAAGCGGACACGGAAATGTAAATAGACGAGAGTAAATATTCCTCTTTTTTTTATATATCTTAAGTCGATTTTGTATTATGGTAATACTCATATTGTTATGTACCAGTCAAACTTGCAGACTCGGAGGTTGAGCAGGTCTACAAAATCGGACTTTGCTGAAGATCGCTTTTCCATCCTACCAACGGCAAGACACGGAGGTGACCGGCCACGATCTGTAGCTTATACGCAGTCACTTCTCCTTCCCCTCAAAGTTACTTTAAAAGACATCGTGCAGAATCCTCGGAGATAACCGAGCGAATCTCTCTCAGAGTGACTTTGGAACACGAATGTGTAGAACCAGGCACGCTACTCGATCATCTCTCCATATTGAGATGCGGTGAGCAAACTGCTGTCCGATGCTATTCGATAATACGTAGACTATTTCGAATCCGGAGGAGTTTGATCGGTGCATAACAAGTACGTCTATGCCCGTTAACTTTGGCTTCACCGGGAGACCTCGGCGCATGATCGTCGACAGGAACTTATACAAGATGTCTCAGAACCACTAAACATCCAACAAAGCTTAGTCCAGTCTGCTTTCAAAAGCTTCAGAAAATTAATGTGTCTTTGGCTCGAGACATTAGTTTCATCGACATATAATACTGGAGCATGTGGTGAAATCTAATTTTTCATTTTCGACGGACCTAAGAGAAAAGGTAAATATGGACATGGAACTCTTTTTCTACTATTGTCTTATTGATCAAGTTTTGTTTCAGGGAAGAAAGAACAGTAGTGTATTCTACCCATACATTGTTCGATCTTTTTCTAGATCTATCAAGATGGTTTATACTCCGTCCAGTACTATATGTCGATGGTTTTTAAAAGAGGCGGAGAGATTATTGAAGATATTTAAGTTTAATAATCAAACATTACAAATAATGTTCTCTCATAACTGGTTTTGAGACAGTCTTATTATAAATTACAGCCTATTCCTTCCTTTCTTTTTTTCGTATTGGCGCATATATTTATCCCTTCGCAACTAGCTACCCACTTAGGTGTGGATCCCCGACCCGCGATACGTATGCTTGACGTACTTGACGAGGCTCGAGGTACGCGGGGAAAAAGAAAATCTGCGATACCGAGTCGCGCGCGTATAGCACACGCGTGCGGGAAAAAAGACTCGGGGAGCATGGAGTCGTCACATCGGGGAGCTTCGTCGGATATATTCGATACGCGATGTATCGCTGTATTGCAAGTACATACTCCCTCTCGAGGATTACGGTAATGTCGGTGCCGCCGGACTAGTCGTCGGATAGCGAAGGTCTGCTCGATGGGTCGGCAGCCTCGCTCTCGTAGCCCATACGTGGACGTGCGACATTCCGGCTCGTCGTCTTCTTCGTCGTCACATCGCCGTCGTCGTCAGCTTCGTCGCCGCCCTCGCCGCTGCCGTCGTCGTCGCCGTCAACGTCGTCTAATAAAGTCACGCAGCTCGAGTTACAAAACGGTTCGGGACACACGCTGGCCGCCGAGAAGCTCAACGAGATGACAAGTTCCGAGCCCAGTCTGTAGCTAGATCGCTGTGCTACATTTCCGGACACGCGCCGGCACAGACCCTCGCAGGCGCTTAAAAAGATTTAAAAAAAAAAAGTACCCAGTCCCTCTCGGCAGAATTCTCACTAGAGGCACGTGGAGATCGTGAATCGCCGATCGGATCCGTGCATCGGATTTTTGAGAGACACGGTCGGCACAAGAACCCGGAGAAAAACATGTACATGTATATAACGGAAAAAAAACCGGACGCACGTCATCGGGACACGGGTTACCCCTTGATCTCGCGTGAATAGAAAACGAACACACACGTGTCGGTCATCGTCGGTTGCCGCATTAACGCAAAAAAGCGCAAAACTGATAGAAACGCGGCAGCAGGGATTGTAACACGCTGTATTGTAATATGATATGTGATATAGGACGTGATAGCCCTCTACGCCGGCATCATCTACGAAGGATGTACCCTTGAAGGAGCGAGCGTGCCAGGCTCGAGAGACGAGAGGGTTTCAAGTAGAAGCGACGCGAGAGGTCTGGTGGAGGAGCGACATGGTGTAGCGAGAGGTAATTGTTCATCACAGCACTCTATAACTACATCGAAAGAGAGCGGGGGAGAGTGCGAATGGGAGATGTATACTGTAATAGAGACGCGGGATTGCGCTACCGCATTCAAGACGCGGGTCCAGCCTCTCAATATTGTTCTGATACGCGTAAGAAAAATGAATAAAAGTAATATAAAGAAAAGAAAAAAAACGACACGTTAATTCATCCCGCGTATTCCACCCGAACGCCTTTGAGAGTCCTGTTTTCTTTCTTAGGAAAAGCGGCGCTTTTTAAGGGAGAGCCCATCTCTACGAGAGGAATCTTCTTCTGTAGGGTGCGCTGGACAAAACTGTGAGATCGACATGTGCTTACACACGCCGAATCTCGCCCTAGAGCGGATTCTCGAGAGTCTCCGCTCGACGGGACCATGAAGGTATCGTAAGAACGAATACTTTCCCCGCGCTGCGATCCCTCCCAGTCAACACCAACTAGAAACCTATTCTGTAATTCTTAACAATTGTAACGTTACTATGTCGTTGTACAGCTTTTTTACCATGTATGTACAATATCTGTGACTAACGACACTGTAACGCTACAGTTACAGTTAAGAGTTACAGAATAGACCCTACAAGTAACAAAAACATCTACAAGGTGTTTCTTGTCTCAAGGAAGATTGAGACCTGTTTTCTTATGGGACACCCTGTATATTGTAATTTCACACTCAACAATATAAATATAACATATGATGTTACATAACAGTTAGATTGTTGAATGCGATATTATAACATAGATGTTACTTTTAATTGGTGTTAACTGGGTAAAATCTCGAGAGAAATATTGAACACTTTCGATCTCAAATAGCATAACATTCGTGGTAATATTGATCATATTTGCTTCAACTCTTCATGCGAGAGTGATTTTATATCTTAGTTCAGTTTTCATGACTTACATTAAAAGTTTAATTCAGACGGATTATAGCGGTTCTACTATCACTAATTTTTTACGGTTTTCAGAACACTTCATTTCTCTCAATGCAACTATTATTAGTATATTAGATTATGATCAAAAGCAAGAAATAATATAAATCTTTTTTTATGCATTGAAATGAATTGGTTCTTTCAACATGCTTCCATTTGCGTTTGTGCACATTGGTAAATTATACCGAAAAATTTCTTTTTTATTACTCAACTTTAATAAATAATATACGAAGTAAGTATGTTTTAAATTTTTGTGAGTCCCTGAAAAAAAGGAAGAGTCATAAAATTAGAAAACATACTTATAACTCACCATGTATAATCAAATCTCTATAGTCATATTTTTAACGAATATGTAACCATTAAAAAAAATTTGAAGACTTGTTTATTAATTGATGGATCAAAAATTCTTTATATTAGGTGTTGGAATTAATTCGTAGCGTTTTACAAGTGATGGGAAGTACTTTCATTAATGTATTTTTTAATGCTCATGTGAAATAAATAACATTCTTTCATTAAAAACGCTACGAATTAATTCCAACACCTAATATATTTTATCAATACTATCAAATACAAGTAGTGACATGTGAAAGAATTAAGCTATTTCAATAATGCAAAATAAAATTTATACAATTTTTCACTTTTGATATTATAATCCAATATGTAATGAGAGAAACCTTAATATTAAATATTTTTGTGCTATTTCATTGCTAATGAAAGTAAAGTTATTTAGACGTAAATACGTAACGGTAAGTACAATTCCGCAGGTAAGAGGTATACTACTGTGGGCAAAAAGTATCGATAATTTGTTTGTTTTTCAAAAATTCTTTATTTATTCATCCACATTCGTATCATCCCCCTCAAAGTAGTCCCCCCCGGTTGCAATGCAACTGTGCCAACGCTTTTTCCAATTTTCGAAACATGCCGCATAGTCGTCTGTAGGTATGGCCCGCAGCTCACTCCGATATGCCAACAAGATCAGTAAGGTCTCGGACAGTCAATCGACGATTTTCGAGCACCAAATCTCGGATTTTTTGGACGTGAATCACATCAGTTGATGTGGATGGCCGTCCGGCACGTGGCTCGTCTTGAACGCTCTCTCGGCCCTCTTTAAACATTCTGTGCCATGCAAAAACTCTTGCTTGTGACAAAGCGCCATCACCGTACGCCTTCTGACACATTCTCAACGTTTCGGCTGCAGAAATTCCATTCCGGACACAAAATTTTATCGTACTTCGTTGTTCCATAATTTCAGACATTTCAAAAAACGACAAATCACTTTTTACGTGCTTACAAACAGACGCTTATCTCAAACACTAATGACTATTTTGACGTGTACCTTGGCGCAGCTGTCACTGACAGAATTGCCAACTTCAAAATAAATTCGGTTGTTCCTATCGGAAACCCCGGGAAATTTAAATTTGAAATTATCGATACTTTTTGCCCACAGTAGTAAAGATAGCTTACTATCGTATTATTTAATCCCAATGGATCGTCGCGAAAAAAATAGTACCGTAAGTAAGTTTCGTGTGAAATATATGTTACAGGATGTCGCCGTTCCATACGAAACTTTCCAAGTCGACTGATGAGAATATTCAGCGTGTAATTGAGCAATAAAGACCTTTGTCTTTCATCTCTAGAACTCGTTAACTGTCTCGTTAACACATTGAAGCTATTGCATACATTTGTATTATACAACAAATTTTCTTTTATACGCGTTTTATATTTCGACGTAAAAAAAAAATCAACGAAATTTAAATTTAGGACTGGAATAAATAATCTTATAAATTTATCTCGTTTAAATTTATATATTTCTCAGTTTGTGTTTTTACAAATCATATGATTAAGACAAAACTTATCGCGCAAAGTAATAAAAAACCGTTAAACTTATCTTGTTATGTCATTAAATCTCTTCTTGACTAATGTCTGTTTCTCTGTCTATCTCAATGTTTAATTTTATTCTCGGTTGAATTCTTTATCTTTTTCTAATTCTAAGAATAAGAAATAAGTCAAAACGGAGATCAAGTTAATCTATTTTTGATAGAAATAGCCAAAGCTGTTTCACTTTTCTGAGATAAATTAAGATAATATCCAAGGAATATACAAAGAGGTAACAAAATCTAAAGGACTATTTTGAATTTTAACATCAATAGTTTTTATAACTAAAAATCATCATTTTGAATTTCGTGACATTATAATAAAGTCATTTTGATTTTCTCTTGACTTGGTATGTTCCTTGGGATCTAAATATAGAGTATAGAAATAATCTTAAGATTATTGAGTAATTTGAGCAAGTATGTAAGAAATGATTTACAATATTTACAAACATTTGAAAGTGTCGTTGAATCAACATAGACTGCTTAATTATAATCTCATACGGTTCTTACGTCGTTTTTTTATCCCTTCCCTCGATAAGTCTCCGCTATGACATAGAGATAATAATGATTCCGAGTTAGAGCGACTTCTTCAATAACAACCGCAAGTCGATACCATTGGATACTTTTACATTTTCACGCGCGAGAAGCGGCACAGCGGTGAGCTGAAGGCGTCGGTGGCGCGCCTTGCGATCGTACCAGACCAACCTTGGCGTTTCCTCGTAATCGCTTGAAAACTGCAATCGCACGGAAATGGCCGAGGACTTACGGTAAGTGTAACATCCAATTTTTCGCAATTCCAATTTTTTTTTCGATCTCGAAAAATATTTATTAAACGAACCAGAAGCGTTTTTATCTTTTCTTCGGAGGTTATGAATCAGGATTTATTACACAAGGTTAAGTTCGGCATGCCGCGTATGTACTTCACTACTCCCGGCGATCATCGATGACAACCAATTCGCTGTCGAAAAGAAAGGATTGATCTGCAAAGAATGGTGCATATATTATAATTTTTGTTTCAATCGTAAAAATTGCACGAACGATCAACGTCAGACTCGTGGAAATTTTTAGTCATGTCCGGCAAGAGGAAAGATACAGGTTATGTAATCTTCAAGGTCGATTCTCATAGACGCGATTTCGTCACCGAGTTGTGAGTAATGCGAGTTCGATAATGTGAGTCGCGGTTGCTTCAAAATGGTATCGTAATACGAAATTGCCGTATGCGTTTTTATTATTTTCTTAATAATATCGCTTTTCTTATTCGAATTGACTCGAAGATAATAAATTGTTTGACATTATCTTATCACCGTTCCTCAGGAAATTTTTTTTATTAATAAAATTGCGCAAAGCATATCTAGGATTGCTTTCCTTTAAAATTTAAATGCCCGTTTCTAATATAGATCGACTTTAATGTCTATTTTTTTCTAATGTCTATTTCTATCAATGTAGATTAATTTTTAATCTTGTTTTAACTTATCTTTTTCTGATTCTAAGAATCAGAAAAGGATAAAGAATAAATTAAATCGAGATTGAAGTTAATAATCTATTTCTATCATTGATAGAAAAATATTATATATTATAATAAATTTTAGAACTAGAAAAAGATACAAAATTAATTGAATTGAGATAAAAATTATACTACATTGGTAGGATCAGGTATAAATTGTAGACTGATCTAGATGAAAATTGTATTGAAAATTTTATCAAATGAACATTTCAGAGAAGGATTGCTGTTGGGTATGGGAAATCCTCTCCTGGATATTTCAGCATATGTTAATTATGACTTGTTGCAAAAATATGATCTGAAGTCCAACAATGCCATTCTTGCTGAAGAAAAGCATAAGCCTTTATATGATGAGCTGATGGACTTATACAATGCTGAATTTACTGCGGGTGGATCTGTGCAGAATACTATGAGAGTAGCGCAAGTAGGTAGAATCTACACAGAAAATTATTATTCACTCTCTAAGAAAGAAAATTATTATTCACTTTTAAAATAAATCTCAGTCTTAAAGATTAAAAATTGATCCACTCTTTAAAAAGACTGACTCAATTTTCACTTTTTAGGGTGAGCTTTTAAAGAAGCTTTTAAATTTAGAGGACATTGACAAATTTATCTGACGAGTAAAAGAAGAAAAATCTTAAATTTATTTCTATTGATAGATAATTTTAATCTTGGTTTAATTTACTTTTCATCTTTTTCTAATTTTTAGAATTAGAAACAAATAAAAAGAATTAAACTGAGATTGATCTGCATTGGTAAAAATGGGCAAAAGTCACACTATAAATAATCAACATTTGTATTACAGTGGCTTCTGCCAAAACCGAAAATCACCACGTACATGGGCTGTGTCGGCAAAGACAAATATTCCAAGATCCTGGAGGATAAGGCAATGGCGGATGGCTTAAATGTTCGTTATCAATACACCGATCAGGAACCGACTGGGACGTGCGCGGTGCTCATTACGGGGAAAGAACGCTCCCTATGCGCCAATTTGGCAGCGGCAAATTGCTTTTCACAGTCACATATCGAAAAGCCAGAAAACAAGCATCTGATAGATATCGCGAGATACATCTACATATCGGTAAACGCAAAGATTTCCTAATACCTAAATATATGAAAGAGCGATTCAGTAAAATAAAAAGTCATGAAATTCATTATTTTGTATTTCAGGGATTTTTCTTAACGGTCAGTCCCGAATCCATACAAACAGTAGCCAAACACGCTTATGAAAACGACAAAATGTTCATGATGAATCTCAGCGCACCGTTTCTATGCGAATTCTTCCAAGAACCGATGCTAGCGGCGTTTCCCTATGTGGACATCTTATTCGGGAATGAGACAGAAGCGGACACGTTTGCAAAAACCAACAATCTTAACGCGACGAACAGAAGGCAGATCGCGCTGAAGATATCGGAAATGGATAAGATAAATAACAAGAGGAAAAGGATCGTTGTGATAACACAGGGTACTGACGCAGTGCTTTTAGCTAAGGATGGCACTGTGACCGAGTATCCTATTATAAAACTGCCAGAGGAAAAAGTTGTAGATACTAATGCCGCCGGGGATGCTTTTGTCGGTGGTGAGTACGGATCAGTCGCTGTTATAATAGCAAATATTTGCGGAAATAATAACTTTATTGAGATATATATATAGTAATATCTTTATTGAGATTTTTTTTCTTAATGTTATTGCTCGAGCGTGGTGACTTTTCTTATATGCCTGTGGTACACACACTGATTATACACAGTTATATGAAACTTACAGACGTGTTAGAGAAGTGTTCTTGGCAAAGTTATTCTCGGTGGATTGCCGCTTCCTTCCGAGAGGAAATACGAGTATATGAAAATATTTTGGTTGTACCGGGATTTGAATCCGTAATCTCTAGCATAACAGATCAGTACGCTATCTGCTTTGCCACGCTCGCTCTCGTAGTATATTATTGAAATACAATGACAATAGAAGAGATTATATATAAAAAGAAAACTAATTGAAAGCTTAACTTTTATGTCGACTGGATAAATTGTTTCAGGTTTTCTAGCACAACTTATACAAGATAAAAGCATAGACACGTGTATAAAATGTGGCATTTGGGCGGCGACGCAGATCGTGCAGAAGTTCGGATGTACTTACGAGGGAGAGCCGAACTTCCAGTCTTGATTGGTGCCAATGTGCTAGCGAATATAAATCGTGTACTTAATAGATATCTTAATAATTTTTTTTACCTTGAATTTATCCCTATCTTTTTTACCTTTTAAACTTTACATTACAAGTGAAATTCGAGCTGCAAGATTATAAATATTTGTACAATATTATTAAAATTTAGCAATTTATTTTGCTAATTTATTTTGCTAATCTAAGCGCATTAGATCAATGACATAATTTTGGAGAAAAAAAAAGAAATCAATAAATTCTTGTTGAATTAATAAGATCATAAATCATTTTACAGGGCTGCGAAATTAATGTCCGTTTCCACCGTTTAAATGTAATTAATAATGAATTCGGACACTCGCACTGGATTAATACATTGAAGCCTACTTTATTCAAAGTAATCTGAATCAGTGATAATATAATTAACTTTGACATTTAACAGGCAATTTGATCTTTTTACTAAAATTTGATTTATTTTTCAATATATATTTTCCTTTTAAAAAGTCACTGACTGCCTACATATATTCTGCTAATAATATCATTATTAAGTATTTAATCCTTTAAAATATCTATAAAATATAAATAGCTTTTGCATTTAACTTTGCTACATTCATATATAGCAGCTCTTACAATTGTTAGTGTACACTAATCCAGTGTAATGCAAGTGACCGAATTCACTATACCTTAATCTCAGTTCGATTCTTTATCCTCTAGTTTTAAAAATTAGAAACGGATGAAGTGTAAGTTGAACCAAGAAGTTGAAAAATTTAATCTAAATCTACATCGTTTCACGAGTGTTCGCCTAAAGACGTGAACTGCGCAGAATTTCTCCCTCGCGCATACTTACGTCGCCGTACGTTAATTTACATACTGTCGGGGAAAATCAATACAATCACCGAGGTATGTAGATATTATACCGAGAATTTGCCGGTTAGCTTCGCATACGCGGCCGCTGGACGGGCGATACCGTCCGGGAGTGCAGGGTATTCAATTATGCGAGACGCTGCACGCGTGCGTCGTGCGCGGTGCGATATGCGGCCGAACTGCGGAGTTTGGAGCGGGACGGAAACGTATCGAGCGGGCGAGAGAGAAAGAGAGAGAGAGGGAGAGAGAGAATGAGATGGGGGCGAGCGGGACGGATGGACGGTTCTTAAAAAAAAAAATCAATAATCTCATTACGAAATTGCATTGGACATGTTGTGCGTTTTGCATATAAACAGAAGTAACGCGCGTCACATTCGCTGCACCGGGCAGTGCCGTATTAATCCAGCACCTTCCTCTGTCCGTATTCCTCTTTCACCTTTCGATGAAACGAGTTTACGACGATCGTTCGATCGCGATATTAGTGTTCGGTTTTGCTTCTGGAACAATCGTGCTTCCTCACTTCTTTTACGAATAAAGAAATACAGAGGTACAAGTTAGATTAATGTTAGATTGACGTGAAGGATCTGTCGCTCTTTTGCGTGACCGTCTTAAATTAAGTTATCGATTTCCATTTACGATAAATATATCCACGTTGTATTTTATACAAGAGGAACTTTCCGCTTTCGAAACCTAGCAGCATGTAAATTTATTCGTTCATTCGTTCATTTTTTTCTTTTTTTTTTTTTTTTGAAAATTCCATTCTCTTCAGATTTCCAGGTAGAACATTATAGTCATAATTAAACCATAATGATATCATAGGTCATGATAACATTTTTATGGTATTATTATGACTCCTATGTTCTACTTGAGTTGTTCATTTTATCATTTTCTACTAATGTAGCTAATGTAATCAGCTTTTTTGTACAATTCATCTTTTCTTTTTCTCTTCAGCACGAAAAAAAAAGAAAAAAGTGAACTGCAAGAAGTCCAGCTAAAAAAACAAGCTTTACTCTACATTGATGGCAGAGGGTGTATATCAATTACACACGAGGCAATTACGCACAAACCAATCACAGCGCTAAAAAAAAAAAAATCTCCCTTCACAGAAATTACTGTGATTGGCAGTGTGCAAGTGAACCACTCTCGGTAGCAATATTTGTCTGCGTTCAGCAGAAAAAGCAGCTTTGCAACTGTTGTTTTAAAAATTCTTTAATTTAGAAGAACGCACTCATTAAGCTAGTAATTCATTCATCGTCGATAAATTTCAAACATTTCTTAAATGTGTTGATTGACTATGTATCTAAGAGATATAATATTCCTGAAAATTCAAAAACTTTTTTATTTTGTAGTCAGTTGATGCAACTGAAAAAATTTTTCATACAATTTCGACGAATGAAATGGGCCTATTTTTTTAGCTGAACAGTTCATTGTTCGCCTTTTATTCCACAATGTGGAAAGGAAAGGAGGGAAGATGTGAACCGTGTAAAAAGCTAAAAAAAGAACAAGTTTAATATTAGCCTTCTGAATTTTAAACGACGCGAGAGAAGTGCAGGGAGGGTGCATCGCAGCCGAGAAAAAAAAAGGGGAAACAATTATCTCCAACGAGTTCAGACATCAGAGTACATCTCTGTCGCGTCTTGTTAGCGTCGTTCGCGGCGGTTCTCCCGGTTTTCTCAGCTGCGTTGCGTGGCACTCGTCGGACTCGTCGGAGTCGTCGGAGTCGTCTGGTCATCGGATGCACGCCTGTCGCCTTGATCGAGAAGCGGGCGGCCATTGTACCGCATATTTGCCGTTGCCGCGCGAAATGGATCTCGCTTTTCGTCACGCGGTATCGCCCAGTATCGCCGTTAAAGTATCGCGCGTGATACGCGAGTTCACGCACACGCACACGCACACGCACGCGTCATGGATTAGTACAGATTCGTATTTCGCGCGCGGTGCATACACATATCGCTACGTTGCGTGTACAGTCCTTTACTAAAAGCAACTAAAAAATTATAATACTTTCTTTTTCGGTGCAGGCTTTCGGAATGCAGCCAGTTCATCGAGCGATTGATTCTTACTTATATTGAATCTAATAATTTACATTCAACTGCTCTACGTGCAAGGGTGAGTTCGAGACAAAAGTGTTGCAACTTTTTAGCAAATGAGTACATACATGCATACATCCATGTATACGTGGTACATGTGACCGATAGTGTGTTTGTGCAGTATAGTCGGGCGCATGTCAAGTGCATCTCTCAACCGGCCGACCTACGGATCTTTCTCTGTTCGACATTCGAGAAGTTTTACGTTTTTCCGTTTACACGTGCAATGTGTGTGAAAGTTTCAGTCTGGAAAAATAAAGGACATCGATAGTTGTTTATACTGCGAAATATCCTTGTGAGTGCATCAGTGTTATTCTTTTTTTGCGAAGAGAATACAATGTAAATCATGTTTTTTTCTGAATAATTTCTTTCTTGATCCACGTGATGTTTTACGGAACTATCGTCTTGAGGTTTGTCCGCATCGTAATGCTTCAATGGAGTATGCGACGTGAATGAACCTTCGAATATTGCTGCTTTCAGCAGAAAAATGCAGCTTCGCATTGTTGCAAAATTCTTTGATTGGTCTTGCCGTTAATTCTTCACTAGATTTAAATGTATAAACAGTATAAATCAATCATATTAAAGAATTTTACGATAGTTATAAAGTTACTTTTTCTGTTGCACGCAGATGCGTGATTAATTTATACATTTGATTGAAGAACTAAATGCAAGAATCAATTGCATTAAAGAATCTTACAACAGTTACAAAGTTGCTTTCATTGTTAAAACAGCTACAGTCTCTTGTATTCTATCTATATGAATAGTTCAGCAACGTATTGTAGACCAAGCATTTCTATGCTTTTACTATGTTTATATTGTACGAAGTGAAGCTGAAAATTGGCAGTAAATAAGTTTATAAATATATAAACAGGATTGGACGTGTATTTGAAATATTTTTTATTTGAAAAATAGTATTTAAAAATAGTATAAGACAATTGTATTTTGTGTTTCAGCAGAGAACATGAAAGTGTTTTGTATTTTGTATTTCAAATACTATAATTGACAATCAATTTTATTACTTGAAATAAAATATATAAAATTATAAAATATATAAAACTTTATTTCAATCTTTCAATTTTAAATACAAAATACACTTACATTGCAAAAACTGTTTTAAATAAAAGTATTTCTAATACATGCCCAGTCCTGTATATAAAATAATTGATATTTAACTTCTCATCTTGTCTGAAGGTGTATTTCAGCTAAACTTTCACTATTCATCTACACCTTGGATGCATTTAGAAATGCATCATATCATCATTTGATATTAAAAAATAAACTTATATCCAAGGAACACACAAAAGTTAATTAAAAAAATCAAAATGATTTAATTTTTATTCGATAAACAGTCAAATTTTATAATAAAAAAATCATTAATCTTTTGACTTTCATGACGTCACATAAATAAAATCATTTTAACTTTTTCTTGCGTTGATGTGTTCCCTGATTAAGTGACAAATAAAGTTATGATGATGTCCTGTGATATTATTATCACTTTTATAAAAGCCAATGGCTTTTTAAGTTGTCAACTTTCAGCTTCAATCTACGGGCACAATGCTGGGTCTATGATGTATACATATTATATGAAATAATCATCAATCTTTTCTCCCCTTCTCCTCATATCCTTTCTTCCTCGATGTCGAATAGATATTACGTCATCGTGAGTTTGCCAGTCTGGCACGTGGTTTGGAGCATAATATCGTTCGCGGGTAAGGTTAGATTAACGCCGAGAGACACTAACTTGTCTCTTAATTTTTCAGGTCGTAACAATCGGATCTATTAACGCGCCTGATCGCACGAGAACGCTACTCGCGGTCGGAGCATATGCACGCATTAATAACACACAACGTCTCGCGACGTAACATACGTGCACTCGCCCTTCCATGTGTGCGCACGCGCGCGCATAACACATACGTCACGCATTCGGATCGGAGTCGGATCGTCGGATCGTCGGATCTCGGACTCGGACTCGGTTGGACTCGGTGCGACGCCATGTGATCACACCGTAAGAGCTGGCATTGCTGGCAAGAGCGCGTGGTGTGCGAGTACATGAGTACGTACATCGGTGTGTGTGTGTGTGTGTGTGTGTATCGAATGAGACG